GCTCAAAATTGGAAGAGTAAAGTCTTACCTACAATGGAGGACTGGAGATTGAAGGTTTCGCATCTTGCTGAAATGGCAAAAATTTCGGCTTATCTGAAGGATCACTCAAATGAACAATTTTTATCAATATGGAGAAGATGGATTGTTTATATTCAAAATAAGCATAGAATGGTGGAATATAATTTAGGTTTTTAGATAAAAAAATTTTTTTTTATATATTTCACCTACTTATGTAGAATAATATTTTGTGGAGTTAGGGATATTAATACTAGTTTACTTTTAGTTGAATAGTATCCTGGGATTAGGTTTGGGAAGTCCGGGGGTGGGGGGGTAGGGTTTTTACACTGTGATGTATTTGTGATGTGCTTTTTTTTATGATGAAAATAATAAAAATTTAAAAAAAAATAAATGAAATTTAGTTGCCTGCTCTCAAAGTGAAAACACATACATGACACATCTAAACATACTATGTGCAATATATGTATAGACCCACACCCCTACATATACATAATAATATTATTGCGTCTTTGATCATCTGGCAGCTAAGCTATCATCAGTTAAGGAGAAATATATTTCATATAGCTTTCTTCAAAACTCTGTTTAAAACCTGTGTGCATTTAGGATGTATCTTGGTGCTTAATTGCCTCTTTTTCTTTTTCAGCTCAAGAATCGATACTGAAATAAACCTCCTCGGTCCTCATCTTTATCTCCAGTGCTTGAAATGTTGAGGCAGATAATTCTGAATGGCTAAAATACATTTATTTACTTCAGTAAATAGACATTCACGACAATGTTGATTTCCTTAATGTGTATAGTGCTAATTAAAAAAGAAATGACAAAATGAAACACAATGTGCTGATCTGATTTTGTTCTCGAAGTCCTTGTGTTGATGCTGGGATCTAGCCCTTCTAATATAATAAAGCATTAACTGTTCAGCCACTGTGCTAGAGAAAGCCCATTTGTATTCTGTCTGGAACGAATACATATACTCTAGTGCTAGTGATGTTAGCGCTGGTAATGTTACCTAGCTTAGGTAATGAAACATCTGCAAGAAAACAGCTAAGCTTGGAGAGCACCAAGGACCCCTCATTTCAACCCTGAGCTGTCCAATCTAGGGCAAATGAGCCTGAAATAGCTATACTAGTCTCCCACTAACTCTTTGTCAGCCACAAAATTTTGAATTTATAGTGTTCACAGTATGTGAGGTCTGCCTGAAAAACATGCTCCTAGATTGGAGCAAAGCGCAGAACAGACTGGTTTATATTTGGTAGACCGGGTGCCTCACCCAACAGATAAGATATATATCCTCCCTGGTTTCTGCTGACAGGAGTAAGGGGGAACCTGTGGCTCAAAAGGGTAATACAGCTGCCTAACATGCAAGCAGGTTCGAATCCCTGAAGGGTGTGACTAGCTTTTTAGTTTTTATCAGGTATGGATTGTAAAGACATTATGTCAGACTAATGTTATTCACATTTGCATACTTAAGAAAGTTTTGGAAAAAATCAAATGAAACCTACTGAAATCAATGTTGTATTGTATTAGAAATATTTGAAGTGCAGCAGTCAGAACTTAGGTGAGGGAAGAAGTGCTAATTTCTTAAGAGGTTTAGAAAGGGGTAATTCAGTTCCACTGATAACATTTTTTCTGAAGGTACATATGTTCGATTATTTATAGTGTGTACTCCCAAGAATTATAACTACCCCCAGAGATGATCCCGGATCTCCCCCAGAGATGATCCCGGATCTCCCCCAGAGATGATCCCGGATCTCCCTTCTTTCCGCCGCGCCCTTAAGACATGGCTATTCCAACAAGCAGGACTGGCCTAGGGGGAATTTTTAGTGGGGTTTTAATGAATAATTTTACATTGATACAGGCCACATCAAATATTTCATTTTAATTAGGTTTTAAAGTGGGTATTTTTATTTCTGTATTTGTTTTACCAGGCTGTCAGCCGCCCTGAGTCCGTAGGGAGAAGGGCGGGATAAAAATCCAAATAAATAAATAAATAAGTTAATATTCATTAATGATTAATAATTGAAAGAAAGCAGTTATTGAGCATATAACTGAAAATTTAGCTTTTCCCAAATGCCCTGGCTATGTTTTTTTTATTAAAACTACAATACTAGTTATAATAATGAATGAAAGGTGGATGCACTGTGATTATTAAAGAAATATCCCAACCCCATAAACACAGGTTAAATCTGTTGTCATCAAGATATCACAACAGGTTGGCTGGAAAGGGAATATTCAAATAAATAATAGTGACACAATCAGAAGGCATATTTGTTAATAAACAGGCATTTGAAAGTCGTAGTCTTCTGTTAGGTAGACTGTATCTAAAGAAGATGTTCCACAGTGTTTGGAGACACCTGCCTACTATATATGATGAAAGCTATATATTAAGTGGTGAAAGGACAAATGTTTTTGTTGGTGACTAGATAAACTGCCCTGAGGTTCATTGGGAAGCAAGCTGCTGTGATTAAGAATAGACATTGGTCTGATCCAAAGAATATTCCAATTTCTGCTTTTTATAGCATTCCATTGTATGAAAATAACAAGCTTTTGCTGACCAATGTGAATTCTACCAATTGGAAAGCACAGACCACCAATTAATTCTCAATAGGGGATGTAGATTTTCTTAACTTT